CACACACACACACACAGTGATGACCGTTTTATGCTGCCGTGGCTCCTCTCTGTTGAACCAACCGAGGTGGGCGGGGTTTTCCAAACAATCCAGCCAATCACAGTCCCCCACGACCGGTCGCCTCTCTGCTGTGACTGGGAAAAGAGAAGCGATGCTGAGCGGCGGTCAACACATGGGAACTGTTGTGAATGAAGTGACACATTAGTTCAGATAACACCGTCTGAAGTTCGAGGGACATATCGAGATAGGAGTCTGTCTGATGCAAGTCTAACCATGGTTTCCATCGACCATGTAGCTCACAAGATACTGACTTACATCCCTTATGTTCTTGTTTTGATTGATCTGAGATATGAAGGTAAGGAGCTCACTGTAGCTACTTTACTAGGCAGGCTAATGATAGCTGCTGGCTGCTTAATGAACGTTTCCAGTAACTATGAACTTTGCTTTGGTTCAGACAGCCTGCTAGCAGTCACAGTAACACTGTGTCGCTAATGTCAAAGGTAACGTTAGCTAGCGAAATCGATAAGTGTCGGCTAACGTTAAGCTAGCTAAGTTAATGAGTTAATTAGTCATATCCAGGCAACCCGTTTGTAGTTTGTTGGTTAAAGTAGCAGGTTTGTTTGAGCCTACAGGCAATTAAACACTAACTAATATAACTAAGAACTTCTTTGGTAATGTTACTCTGTAAGCTAACCTTACCGTTAACTTACAACATAGTACGACAGCTAGCGTCATGTTATCTCTCTAACTTCACTTCACTCATCTGATTTAACTTACATGCTGCCATCTGTCATTGGTCGGTAGTCAACTAAACGTGAATGAATGCAACAAAAACTGTACCGTAGTTAGCAGTGTGTGGTAATATGTTGAGGATTGTGGTGGAATATAACAGGGCTATGCTTTTTGTTTTTCAGGAGTGACATGTGGCAGGGATGGGAGTGTGGACAATCATATGGAGATGGGGAAGAAACTGCTTGCTGCCGGACAGCTAGCTGATGCTCTCTCTCATTTCCATGCTGCTGTGGGTAGGTGAAAGAAACATGCTGAGTTTAAAAAGTGTACCTGTCTTACACAAGGGAATATAACGTAATTCAATACTTGTATAGTCATGCTTTCTTTGTGCTTTTATCAGACGGAGATCCCAAGAACTACATGGCCTACTACAGGAGAGCCACAGTGTTTCTCGCAATGGGGAAGTCAAAGTCTGCACTGCCAGATTTGAGCAAAGTCATTGAACTCAAACCAGACTTCACATCTGTGAGTTGTTGTTTTGTTTTTTTGCATCACTTGGCCTGAAATTATTTATTTTTACACAGTTGGACACCGTTTTAAGTCATACTGCGGACTTACGCTGTAGTTATTTGTGTAACCCATTTACACAAATAACTGGAAGAAGCTGCTTCATTATGTAAAAATAGTATATGTGTAAATGATATCGTTTAAATAAGCTCCAGACGCAACTGTGCTGGGAAAGCGGTCAGTTCTGTCAGGTGTGTTCAGCTTCAGTCTCTGTTTGACTTATGCAAAACAAGGCCTCTCTCTTCCTCTCTTAACAGGCGCGGCTTCAGAGAGGAAATCTCCTTCTGAAGCAAGGGAAACTAGATGAGGCAGAGAGTGACTTTAAGAAGGTGGTAAGTATAGTAATATCCTGTATAAACTCTATATCAACAAGACTGGGAAGAAGACACTATTTTGTCAGATAAGCAGAGTTCACCAGGAGGTGTCAGTGTTGATCTGTAGCCTGGTGTTGTAGTGAAACTTTTCTCAAGCATGAAACTTTGCTTTATGTTTTACTGGTATTCCTTAAATATGGACAATAGGTGAACTTATTAACAGCCTAAATATTGTGAAGGATATTTGTATTTTTCCATGCAGTGTAGATTTATTTCAATATACTTTATAGTGATAGTATGAGGTTGACAACGTGGTTTTGTTATTGACGGGATAAATGGACTTTGAAATACTTTGAAGCAAGGAAGTTGAAAAACAGATGCACATAGGACCTTAGAGGATTGGGGAAACCCTGCATCCATAAGCCATCTTTGATAATGATTAAATGAATTCTCATTTGGGCCTTCAGGGATCGTTTTTAGGTGCTCGTTAAGGATTAAGACTGGAACTCGCTAATGTTTTTTCCATCAGAATTACCATTTTACAGTCACAACACTCCCAGAAGACATGAATGCCCTTGCTATATCTGCTAATAATTCTTAAACTCCATTTAAAGCTGTTGTATTCTCAGGTGAGGTAATCGTACACGCAAAAATTTAGTTCCACTTCAGCATGGGGATAGGAATGTCAGACAATGTCACATTGTGCCAAGGGCATATGGCAGACCTGCAGCCTCAAAGGTCTGTTTTGATCATTAGCTCCTTGCCTTTACAATTTCCTTCTGTTGAAGACACAGAAAATCAGTCAACTTTTGATTAGCTCTGATTATTATATGTAGGTTGAAGCTCAGTGGTTGGCCCTGTACTCCTGTTTGGCAGGCTAATATGAAAGACTGCAAAGTACAAGTGGGAGTGTCTAAGGAATAGAAAGTATTGTAATTGCAATCATGTGCAATGCCTCCTCCTTCAAGAGGGCAACGAGCCACATTCCCAACAGAGACAACATTGCTGGTATAATATCAAGGGATCTGGCCAGGGGTAAATGCTGTCATGCTGCTTCAGCAGTCCACAATGTTGGCCTGGCATAATGCATCACATTTATGCATTGCACTCTTTCCTAAGCTGATCTCGCAGGAAACACTTGAAGGGTACCTAGGTCTGTTTGTAAATGATGTGTCATTAGCTGAGATTGCTCTTGTGAATATGATGACCTCTATGATGAGGATGATTATAATGTAATGTGTTTAGGGAATAGTAACTGCTACTGCTGTGATAGGCAATGTTTTTCGAGAGGCAAAGTTGGCACAAGAACCTCTTAAGAATAAATAAGAGCTCGTATTGGACTGCGTTGGTGAAGGACTGAATCAAATTTTCTTAAGCACACTGATTTTCTGGTCTCTGGACTACATTAATACCTCATATTGCATACTGTGTCCTGGCTTTAATCTTTTTCCACTTATACTGCTTTAATCATGACAATAAGTATGCGTATGTAATGTGTTGCTTTGCGATCTTCCAGCTGAAGTCCAACCCCAGCGACAAAGAGGAGAGGGAGGCCCACAGTCAGCTGACAAAGTCAGATGAAATTCAGAGGCTGGTGGCTCAGGCGCGCAGCAGCTTCAACGACCAGGATTATGTGACAGCTGCTGCCCAGCTTGACACTGTCATTGAAGTAAGATATCTACCTTGTCAGCATTGCCTAATTTCCCTGCAAGCAGAATATTGTCCATATCATTATCACCGCAGGCCGTACAGAACATTTGTATAACAACTAGTAATGCAGTTTGTAAGAGTTATTGTCCACCTGTTCCAGACTTGCGTTTGGGATGTGGCCTCTCGTGAAATGCGAGCAGAGTGTTTTATTCACATGGGAGAAATGGGGAAGGCCATCAGTGACCTTAAAGCTGCATCCAAGTTGAAGAGTGACAATACCCAGGCTTTCTACAAACTCAGCACCATCTACTATGATCTTGGAGACCATGAGATGTCCCTCAAGTAAGACCAACTTGCAAACCACTTTCTTTAAGGAAAGCTC